GGATATGGGGAGGGGGAAGTGTAAGCTGTGACAAAGTGAGAGAGTAGTATATGGACATATATACACTACCAAATGTAAAATAGATAGCTAGTGGGAAGCAGCCACATAGCACAGGGAGATCAGCTCGGTGGTTTGTGACCACCTAGAGGGGTAGGATAGGGAGGGTGGGAGGGAGGGTGACGCAAGAGGGAAGAGATATGGGAACATATGTATATGTATAGCTGATTCACTTTGTTATAAAGCAGAAACTAGCACAACATTGTAAATCAATTATACTCCAATAAAGATGTTAAAGAAAAAAGAGAAAACAAGTTAGAGATGACCACTCACTACTTTTTTTTAAAATTAATTACTTTATTTATTTGTTTATATTTGGCTGCATTGGGTCTTTGTTGCTGCACGCGGGCTTTCTCTAGTTGCAGCGAGCAGGGGCTACTCTTCGTTGTGGTGCACAGGCTTCTCATTTTGCAGAGCTCGGGCCCTAGGCGCATGGGCTTCAGTAGTTGTGGCAAGTGGGCTCAATAGTTGTGGCTCGCGGACTCTAGAGTGCAGGCTCGGTAGTTGTGGCGCATGGGCTTAGTTGCTCCGCGGCATGTGGGATCTTCTCGGACCAGGGCTCGAACCCATGTCCCCTGCATTGGCAGGTGGATTCTCAACCACTGCGCCACCAGGGAAGTCCCGACCACTCACTACGTTTTTCAATGTAGTGCTGGAAGATCTAGGCGAACAATTTACTTTCTATTCTCTGTCTTCTCATCTGTAAAATGAGAGAGTTGGACTAAGTGATAGCTAAGCCTCCTACCACCTCTAATTTTCTCAGACTGGACTTATTCTATGCCTGATTTCTGAATTACAAAATCTTCCTTTCCCAACCATCTGGGAAAGAAGAGGGCCAGGAGAGGACAGCCACTTGTCACGACAAGAAATAGGAGAAACAGGACCACATGTCACTTGCACAAGTTGCTGCCTCAGCCACTGATAGGTTTAGGTGAAAAGCATGGTTATAATTAGAGCAGCAGCCTGTCCTGACTGCTCCACCAGCCACTGTGGGCACAGCTGGATCTGCCAACCACATGCACAGGACTCTGAGAGGCTGCTCGGGCCTTGAAATGATCCTTCTTACAAGGATTTTCCTTCTTCCTCAAGGGAAAGAAAACCCATTGATATAAAACCCCACTTGCCTTCCGGCTTCCCCTGCTAACTGCCACTCCAACAGAGACCGAGTGTGGACAAATACAGGAGAAAGAAAAAATCGTAAGCTGAGCCTGGTCACATTGCCCCTTGTGATATAGTTTTATTTTTAACTTCAAAACACTTGAACTATTTCTGTTGAAGTTTTTTTCTCCTTTCCCTACCTCCTCGACGAAACTCTGTCCTCTGCTGCAGCCAATGCACGCCGAGCCACCTCCGGCAGTCTACTTGCTCACCATCAAGGGACACAAGTGCAGCAGATGCTGACTCAGCCCATGCCATTAAGGTAAGCTTTTCAAATGTGGGCAGGTTCATCAAGGGGAAATTTAGAGTGGTGAACATGGAGGCAGAGGCTGAGCGGCATATCACCTTTTTGCTCTGAGTAAGAGGGTTGTTAAGCAAATTAAGTTACATATGGGGGTGAAAAGGTTAGCACTGAGAATGAGACCCAGCCATAGGTAAACTCCTGCTTTGAATCTAAAATCTTAGAGCAGGAAGAGACGACCTGCTTTCTAACAGCTTAGGCTCTTTCTTCTAAAATCAACCATAGTGATAGCACATAGTGGTTATGTGCTATCTCTAAGGTTACACAGTATTGATGGGGGTTCAGGATGGCGGGGGGGGAGGAGGTGGTGAGGAAATAGGTGGAAGGCCCAGAACCCAGGATTTCTGTTTTCTGAAGTCCAAATGTTGTGATCTTTCCCCAATCAGCATTTTCTATGTAAACTGCAAGTCATTCTCATGTACTTTAAATTCCATCACCTGTGTCACTCTACCAGTTAATTTAGCACAGTTGTATTTACTGCGTATATTATTTAACTTCTGCCTGCAGAGTTTAAAACCTGTTTTTCTTTAACAATATTCCCTAAACATGACTCACTCCTCCCCAGCTCTCTTGAATCCAAATGCAGCTATGGAATAGAAGTGAAAGTATTTTACAAGTTGAAAAATGGTATATACATGCAAACCAAAAATTATCACAAACTTGAAACTTGCAACTCCAGGGGGACAAAAGTAAAATGATTAATGATACTTGAGGAGTCAAACACTTTAAAGTGTAGATAGGTTATTTCTAGCTTTGGGAATAACAGCATAGTGTTGCATGCACAAACAAATTGGCAGGGATAAGGGAGCAGTGTTTATTTTCCTGTTTTCCTCTGGACCTTGCTTTAGTGTTATACAGTTAAAAGTTCAGCTAAGGACATCCTAGGAAGTGGCCTGTGCAGCAAAAGGGATTCTGTACACTCTAAACTTTGCACTGTACAGGCTAAAGCCACCAATGTCAAGTAAAAGGAGACCTACCACCAGACACCTTAACTCCTGTTTCCTACTTGCCTGCCCCTGTAACCTCCAGATGCATCCCATAACTCTGCTATAGGTGTCTGGGTTGTAATTATGCCTGTTTGCTAGGCACAATCAAATGCACTGTGTATAATTGCCTAACTTCATTTAATTTTGTCAGAGTTTCCATGGCACAAAGGTCTTCAAGGGGTATACCAGGTACTTTCCTAGCAAGATGGGCATGTTAGCTTAGCAGTAACCAACCAGACCAGCTGACTCAGAGCTACTCCTAAATAATCCATCTAGTTTGCACTTTCTTGGCCAATACAAAACAGTAATTTAAAATACTGAAACTAATAATGTAAGTACAAGATATGAGAATTAACTAGCTAATTAAATAACTAGAAAGTTTAAAGGTAGAGAGATTTCTAGTGTAGGTACAGAACTGCAGATGGTGAGGTTGAATAGATTTGAGGGAGGATGATTTTTAGGGTATAGTGAAAAGGCTGAAATCATAGCCTGAAAGCCCAGGATTATGTGACCAGATGTGGGAACTATCCTCAGCCAACTGGTTGTGTTAAAATCTCAAGATGCAAAGGGATTACTTTAATATTTAACTTTATACATTTTCTTTCCATAGAATTAAGTATCTCCATAGCAGGGAAACAGATTAACAATGTATAATTAAAGTAACAGATTAATTGACTGGTTAATAGGTTAACAGTTAATCTCTGTCCTTTAACTCTTGACCTTGTCACTTCCACTAAAGTTAAAGCTCAGGAATAAATAATTATTGCCAGGGCTAGCCACATGAGGAGGCAAAATAGTCGCTGCATCATGTGAGGGGTGCTGGGAGGGCCCCTTGCCTAAAAATATCTCCCTGACACCAACCCTGATTGCCTACTAACTTTATAGTGAAGAATGTTAAAACTATTTTCTGTTAATTGCATTCTCTTTTGCTTGAGTCAGTGATTTAAATATACCTGCTTTATGCCTTCTCATGACCTTGTTGGCCAGTGACACTTGGTCACCACCTCTTCCTCATTCTTCCAGGCCTTGTCCTGCTTTGCCCTTGGTACCATCTAAGCTGCCCATATGCCCTTGGCCGTCATCATGCAGGTAGCTCTGTGTGGCACTGTGGTTTCTACAGAATTTCTCAGTAAACTATCAAGGTGAAGTAGAAAAAAGAAAAGCATGTGATTAGAGTCAGAGACTGTGGGAGCATAAGCAAGACACATTACTTCTCTGGGCCTCAGTTTCTCTTGTAAAAAATGAAGAGTTTAACCTAGACTCTTTCCTAGACCATTTGTTCTACCAGATCAGAAGCTGCATTTCAAAAAAGATTGCCCAGGTGATTCCTATGCACACTGAAGTTTGAGAAGCTCCAGAGCAGAGGATTTCTGGTTATCTACCTGAGCCAGATTCCTGATTCTATGACTGTAAGTGTTGAGAACAAGTTGTAACCTCCTACAAACAATTCTGGCAGCATTCAGAGTATCTGTTATAACTGGAGTCCACGGAGTCTTTTCCATTCAGTTAAGGCAACATTAACCAAATAAAGTTGAAAACATTTATTTTTCTTCCTTTAAAACAAAACAACAACAACGAAAAAACACAAATTAGCATATATCTGACATCATTACCCCTTCCTCCTAAAGGTCTCAAATTGCTCTCACAGGTGTTTCAAATGCTGCCTTCTTTAGGGTCCTGTTCAACTCCATCCAATCCAATCCTTCACTGAAGGCTGATGGACTGCTGGGAGCCCTGTTAGCTCTACTCACTCGCAGGGCCTCAGAAATCATTCCTGTATCCCTCCTGGGGCATTCCCACCCTCTGCTGATATTCCAGTCAGAGCTTCTTTCACAGCCTACACACATTCCATGGGTCCCAGCACTTCTGTTCCGTTTATGCCCTTCATCAGGTCGTTCACCACTCACACCATCACAGCAACTTCCCTTGGGTTGTACCAACACCCAGAGTCAGTCACGAGAGGAGACAAGTCTCAATTGAAACCTTCCTTTTTATTTATTTATTTATTAAATAAATAAATTTATTTATTTTTGGTTGTGTTGGGTCTTCATTGCTGCTGGCAGGCTTTCTCTAGTTGCGGCGAGCAGGGGCTACTCTTTGTTGCGGTGCGCGGGCTTCTCATTGCGGCGGCTTCTCTTGTTGCAGAGCACAGGCTCTAGTCACGCAGGCTTCAGTAGTTGTGGCTCGCGAGCCCTAGAGCACAGGCTCAGTAGTTGTGGCGCACGGGCTTAGTCGCTCTGCGGCATGTGGGACCTTCCTGGACCAGGGCTCAAACCCGTGTCCACTGCATTGGCAGGAGGATTCTTAACCACTGTGCCACCAGGGAAGTCCCTATAGTGCAGATTTTTAACCTTAAAAATCTTCCCTGCCACATTTGTATTCCCTGAAATGCAAAGGCATGGAACCTGCGCAGTCTTCTTGTTTCCTCTATTCAGAAGGGCACAGTATGGGTTGTAGTCCAGAAGAGGACCAAAAAAGAAAAAAAATTCATCACAGGCATGGAGGATCTTCCTAATGTGAAGCATCCAGCTTCTCTACAATTTGGAAAGATTATACAGGTAGACACCTTTCTGTGCCCCAACTGGGGGAAAAAAAGACTTTCCCCTTACAGATTCTAGCCATGGGCTTGCATTCTCCCCAAACCATGGAGATGGACCACAAATGTCTCTATGGGTCTCTGATGGACACAGTGTGATGTAGCAGACAGTAGAGTTTGAAGCCAGACAAACTTAGGCTTCTTTGTGCCTCAGTGTCCTTATCAGTAAACTGGAGATGGTAATACCCACCTCACATTATTATTGTGAGGATTAAATGAGATGTTATGTAAATGCACATGTTAAGCACTAATATTTTATTTCTCTTCCACTATGACATCCAAAATGGAGAAATCACTCCATCTAGGAAACTCAGACAGACCCCATGGAGGATAAGAATCCAGTCACTGCACAGGAACAGAAATTGGGAGAACAGGGCATCTCATGTCACAAGACAACCAATGATAAATCTAATTTGATTAAATTGAGGCAACACCAGCTGACTCCAACTTAAGGTGACCAATCAGCTGTCTAAGTTTGCCTGGGAATAAGAGGTTTCCTGGGACCTGGGACTTTCAGTGCTCAAACCAGGAGAGACGGAGGCAAACCAGGATGATTGGTTACCCTGTTTCTCCAGCAATAATTAGACTATCAACAATTTTGGATTGTCCTTTATCTCAGTGGGAAAGATTTCCCCGAGATATACAACAAAAGGTTCAGATGTGATTTTTTTATGCCCTTAGGCTATATTTGTCTTTCTCCTTTCCTCCACTGACAAATGTCTCCAAAAAGTCATCTCCACTCCGTATCTTTCTGCTCAGCACATGCCTTCTCTCAAAGTCACTCATCTGGGGTAGCTCCAGAGCCTGGCAGAAGATCCTTAAATAGCAACATAAAGCAACAGCATCTTTGTTGCCTGCCTTCATTGCTTTTCTTTTCTCTTAAAGGAATATTTTCAAATAACCTCAAAGAGATGGAGAGCAATAAGACTCCACCACAAATGTTCCCAGCTTCAATAACGCTGTTGCTAAGAACCATCTTTATAATGCTGAAGGATAAGAAATGATTGGCAACAAGGACCTACTGTGTAGCACAGGGAATTATACTCAATATTTTGTAATAACCTATAAGGGAAAATAATCTTAAAAAATTGATATAGATGTATATATAACTGAATCACTTTGCTGTACACCTGAAACTAACACAACATTGTAAATCAACTATTCTTCAATTAAAAAAAGAAGAAGGAGAAGAAGGAGAAGGAGAGGAAGAGGAAGAAGAGGGAGAAAAAGAAATGATTGGGCTTAGAGTTCATCACTATTGTCCCTCCAGCCAGACACATGCCTGCTGATAGGGGCAGAGTTCTCACTACATACATTGAGTGCACAGAACTAGCCAGAGCTGCTTTGCCCTTGCTGGAAACTGGGCTCAACTTTGTGACAGAACCCGGTTGGCAAATACAAAGTTGGATATTCCTGGTGCTATTAGCTTTTTTCACATAACCTTACTCCATTTGTGATCTGCCTCTTCTTCCCCACCTAAAAACCAACAGGGCACCCTGAGTCATCCAGAGTCCATTCTTGATGAATGTCTATTATGAATAGAAAGCAGATGATCACATTCTCCCAGCCAGGGCACAGGCCCTGCCAACACTGGAGTGTGTGCTTAATAGCTTTCTCCTCTACTCCAAACAAACACTAGATTTTGAATGGCCAAGGGTCCCACCTCACAGCTGAAATGCAAATGCTCTGGCAAGAGCTCTTTGGGGAACTGCCATGAGCAGTGGCATTGTCATCCCTGTTCTTAACCTCACAGCAGCATTGGAGGCCATCACTCACCCTTTCCTTTACATCTAGCAACAATAGTCCTGACTCTCTTAGCTCACTGGTCTCTCCTTCTCTGGTTCTGCTTCTTCTTATTGTCCCCAAAGTGGTCATACTTAGCCTTGTACTTCATGGCTCAGATTTCTATTCTGTGTTCTCACTTCCCCAGTTATGGCTTCCTCTTACTTTTAAGTGGATACTTCTCAAGTCTGAATCTCTATATTCTGACCCCTCATCTTCCCACCCACATGATCTGTCATCACCTAAAGCAACTTGTATTACACTCGCTGGACCCATTTTTCTTCCCAAAACAGTTCCCTCCTTAGACCTCTATTTTTCTCAGAATTACACCCAACATTCTCTCTTCTTAGTTCACCTTCTTGGCATCACCTTTGACTCTTCTTCTTCCCCCATCTCCAGCCAGAAACAAAAATGTTAGTTGACCCTCCCTTGTAATGTCTCCTCTCTGTCTCATCTTGCCTATTTCTACTGTCATCAGTCTCACAATCTCAGCCTCCATCATGTTCTCTACATAGCAGTTTCTAACTCTAGGTCTTTCCACTCCATTCTTCCACTACTACTGGTTAACACCCCAATTACAATGGTAAATGGTTCCTTACTGAGTACCAAATAATTCTAGATGCTTGAGCCTAGTATTTATGAATTTCTATAAGTCCATAATGGGCTTTTCCCCCTCAGGAGTGATCTGGAATATGGCAGGAGCCTACCTGAATGTTAAATTGTATGTTAAAAGATCAAGTAGCTAGACTCTTGCATCCAAAAGATGTGCTCTTTGCCTGATCCTATTCTGCTCCATCTCAGTCCTACCCTCACAGCTTTTCCACTCTGCTCAGCTCCCTCTCTGTCTGATTAATCTTCTAGTTAACCCTGAAGCTACTGATGGTCAGGCTGACTATTAGGGTATGAGGTATCCCTCTATAGCCTAAGAGGGATTCTGGCGTGATCCCTCTTCCACACTTATAGTGCATGAGTCAGATGGGGAATGTGTTAAGAATGTAAATTCCAGGATATACCCTTCGCTCAGGTCAGGGGTGCAGCCAGCATCTATAGCAGTGTTGTCCAATAGAGTAGCTATTGAACACTTGAAGTGTAGCTAATATGACTTGAGGAACTGAATTATTAATTCTAGTTCATTTTGATTAATTTAAATTTAAATAGCCACATGTGGCCAGTGACTACCATATTGAACAGTGGGGATCTATATATTTAACAAGAATCACAGCTGATTATAATGAACAATAGTGTTTAAAGCCACTTTAACAAGCAGTCCGGGTGACCCTTATGCTCACTTACTGGTACATAGTAGGTAATCAAAAATGTTTGTTGAATGAATGGATGAACAAATGAATACATGAATGAACTAACATACAATTCCCTTGATATTTAAGGCTGTCTCTTCTAAAAAAGAAAAGTTGAGGGGGATTTTTCCAGAGGAAAAGAGGCTAAAAAGATTTAACAAACAAATGTAATAAATTAACCTTAAAGGGATCCTGGTTCAAAACTGAGTTGTTTTTTAAAAAGTACAGAAGATATTTTGGAGATAATTGGGAAAATTTGAATATAGACAGCATGTTACATGATATTAGAAAATTATTTTTAGTTTTCTTAGGTGAGATAATGTTACTGTAGTTACAAAAAAAAGTCTTTATTCTTAGAAAATACATGCTGAAGTACTTACAGATGAAGGGTCATGACATCAGCAACTTATCTTCAAGTGGTTTGGCAAAAAATGTGTGTGTGTGTGTGTGTGTGTGTGTGTGTGTGTTGAGAGAGAGAGAAAGTGAAAGGGGCAAAATGTTAACAATTGTTGTATCTAGGTAGAGTATATTTGACTGCAAAATGTGGGCCAGGGTGGTGGAAGAATACATGAAGTCTCTTTGGCCCCTTTTAAAACAGATAAAATACTTTTCTTACTAATCATTCATATTTGTATATTTATATTTTTCCCCTAGAGTTACAAAGCAAGAAGAAATTTGGAAGCTATGGTAAGTACCAGGTGCTTATTGGAACTTTACCTTTCACAGGTCCAGGTCTGGCTTCATTTAGCCTGTAGCCCAAGCATCTGGCAGATTTATCCTTTTGGTCTGATGATATATATTGGCTTTTTGCCGAACCATAGATGCTAGAGCAGAACCTAGAAGAAACTGACACAGAATAGGGGGAAATCATAGACCTGAGAAAGATCTGTGAGCAAAGATTTTTAGTAAAACTTTACACATGAAAAAGCAAAAAATCCAGGTATAACCTAAATGGCTAACAATTCCTTCATTCGGCAAATATTACTGAGTGCTTACGATGGTCCAGGCCCTGTGACAGGTGCTGGGGACCAAGATGTGAACAAAACCAGTCATGCCCCATGTCCTCCCAGCATACCCCCTAGTGGTAGTTGGTTAAATGAATGACAGAACACTCATTCTGGAGTGTTACACTGCCATTATGAAGAAAGTTTGCAAAGAAAAATTAATAAAACAGCCTAGACATGTCATAATAGCAAGTTAAAGCAGAATGCAAAATTGTATTCATAGTATTAACTGTGTCATATAAATCCTCCACAACCCCCAACTCAAAAATAGCAATTGTCACCTTGTAGCCCATTACTTTCACCTTTGTTTTTTTTCTATTCTCAACACAGCTAATACATAGAATAAACTATTGGGAAATAAAGAGAAGAGTATTGATAGCTGTTATTTCTAGATTGTGTGGGATTATGAGTATTCTTGCTTTCTTCTTATGATTTTCTATATTTTTCAAGATTCCTACAATAAACATGAATAAACAGGAAATAAGTCAATTAAAACGTAAACACTCACAGACATGCATAGAGCTTCTCTTCCAGCAGTCATTTGTTTTCTCTTTCCCCTTGCCTTTGGTGTCTCCAGCGTAGGGCGTGCAGGCCTCCACCAGGGCAGCACAGGCACTGTGACAGATGCTTCAACCGTCACTGCCACATGCCTATGGAGCCTGGTGTCTCCTGCCTGGTGATAAACTGCCACCTGTCCTGCGGTGCTACCTTCCACATGTGCAAAGAGGCAGAGCACGAGCTCCTGTGCCCTTTGGAGCAGGTTCCGTGCCTCAACTCCGAATATGGCTGCCCCCTTTCCATTTCCCGTCACAAGCTGGCCAAGCACCTGCAAGTGTGCCCCGCCAGCGTGGTCTGCTGCTCCATGGAGTGGAACCGCTGGCCAAACTTGGACTCTGAAACAGCCCTTCATGAGAACATCATGAAAGAGACCCCCAATGAGGAGTGCTTGGACACAGCCCTGGCCCTCCAAGACCAGAAGGTCCTCTTTAGATCTCTGAAAATGGTAGAACTTTTCCCAGAAACTAGAGAACCCATGGAAGAGGAACCTACCATGAATGGTGAAGCCAGTTGGAAGGAAATGGAAGGAGCGGTGGGTGGGGCAGATGCTGGTTTGGTAACAACCACCAACGGAGAGGTGGCAGAGCTGAGTCAAGAAGAACGAGAGGTATTAGCCAAAACCAGAGAAGGGATGGACCTAGCCAAGTTTGACAAGTGGGAAAATATGTTCAGCAAAGAGCATGCAGCCTCTGCTTTAACGAGCTCATCAGTGAGCAGTGAGAGCAAGAGCAGGGATGGCCCAGAGAAAGAACAGATTTCCAGCAGCAACAACATGGTAGAAAAGAGCGCTGCCAAAGGGAAGGAAACACAGGAAGACCAGAAGCAGCAGGACTTTCATGAAGCCATAGAAAAGTCAGGGCTTGCCCCTTGGCAGGATGGTGTTCTGGAAAGACTGAAAACAGCTATGGATGCAAAGGACTATAATATGTATCTGGTGCACAATGGGAGGATGCTTATTCACTTTGGTCAGATGCCTGCTTGTACACCTAAAGAGAGAGACTTTGTTTATGGCAAACTCGAGGCTCAGGAAGTGAAGACTGTTTACACCTTCAAAGTTCCCGTGAGCTACTGCGGGAAGCGGGCTCACCTCAGAGACACCTCGTTGAGTAGTAGGCCAAGTGAACACAAGGCAGTAGATACTTTGGATTTAGGGATCACTGTGGAGGACCTCCCCAAATCAGATCTCATCAAGACCACCCTGCTGTGTGCTCTGGAAAGAGAACTCAAAGGTCATGTCATCTCTGAATCCAGGAGCATTGATGGGGTGTTCATGGATTTTGCTACACAGACATACAGTTTTGAGCCAGAACAATTTTCCTCCAGGACGGTGCTGGCTGACCTTCTAACCACTGCCAATCTGAATGGGCTCCATATGGAGCTCCACAGTGAGTGTGTGACCAGGAGACACAACAAGAGCAGTTCTGCCTTTACTTTCACTTGCAACAAATTCTTCAGGAGGGATGAATTTCCCCTACATTTCAAGAATGTCCACACAGACATTCAGTCATGTCTCAATGGTTGGTTCCAGCACCGATGCCCCCTTGCCTACTTGGGATGTACCTTTATTCAAAACCATTTCTGTCCCCCAGGGAAAAAGGCAAAAGTAATCTACAGTCAGGAGCTCAAGACCTTTGCCATCAAGCCGGAGGTTGCTTCAGAGCTGAGTGAGGGAGGGAACAACCATCTCTCAGGCCGTGAAGGAAAAAACCAGAATTCTCTAACCAGCCTGCCCCTGGAGGTTTTGCAGTACATTGCTGGGTTCTTAGACAGCATCAGCCTATCCCAGCTCTCTCAGGTGTCCGTGCTGATGAGGAATATCTGTGCCACTTTGTTACAAGAGAGAGGGATGGTCCTCCTGCAATGGAAGAAGAAGAGGTATTCCCATGGAGGCACCTCGTGGAGAGTTCACAGAAAGGCAAGTAAATAGTCATTCACTTATTCATTCATTCAACAAGTATTTACTAAGGGCCTTCTGTGCACCAAGCCATGTGCTAGGCACTGAGATTGTACTAGGTTACCGGGAATAAAGCACAGTCTATGAACTCAAGGAGGTCAGCATAGTAGAGGAGACAGACCCATAAACATAAAAATGGCAATACAAATGGTAATGCCTATTTATGTATGTGTCCTGCATGTCTTCCGTTTGCTCACATGATCCATTCTCCATCGTGATCTGTCCCCCAGGAGGCTGATCTTTATAGACTAGCTTAACCGGCTCCCCTGCCCTCCAGCTTCCAGTTGGGCTAATCTAACGGGAGTGTATCAGCAGGAGATGGTCAGGAGGGAGAAGAGTGAGGTTGACATGGTTATTCTTCTGGCTTCCTTCCTGCATGCATTCTCCCCTCCATGACATTTTGCACTGGCCATGTCCCTCCAACTGTATCTGATATCTGATAGGTTACCGATTCTGGGTTCCATTGACTTCCTTCCTCCCTTTCAGGCCTAGGGTAGTAACACTCTAGATTGTTACTAGCCTGGGTTTTCTATACCCTGCCCACACATTTGTATATCATTCCTTTATAAAATTCTCTTCAGATTACCCAGTTTGAGTGTGCCATCTGTTTTCTGCCTGGACTCCAACTGATACAATATGCCAACAAATTCTCCTCAGCCCTATGTCAACCAATTTATTTACAAACAAGTTTTGCCCCTGTTGAATTCATTTTGAAATTCTAAAATAATTTGGTCCACTGATTTCCCCTGGTTCAAATGCTTATTTAATTCTTTTAGAAAAACTGTGCTGTATAGATCAAAGAATCTTTCCCTTTGGAAAAACCTCATCCCCTTTTCCCAATCAGGTTAGGCTTGCTTAACTGTATAAGTTCTATTGGCTTGTACTCTATAGAAGTGAAACTCCCAATTTGTCATATCCAAGGTGCCGTAGCACCATAGCATCCTCTCTTATGGTACATATATTGGTAATGTGAATCACAAATTTATGATGCCCATTTAGGTCAATAATTCCAAAATCTCACTGTTGAGTCTTTTCCCAGTATGTGGGTATATGCAAACTGGTATTGGGGAGTTAGGAGATGTTTACATCTATTTTTATTATGTCTAAAACATCTTGCATATTTTCTATTATTTATTCCCTGAGCAGTCTTCTTCAAAAAATAATTATCAGACTCTCCCTCATGAATTCATGCTTGAGTCCGTGCCTGCAATCCATGTGTTAGATAATGACTGCCAAGCAACCATGTGTTAGGCATAAACATGAATGAGACTAAGACCCTGCCTTTGGGAATTGTATTGCCAAGATACAATGTATCATTTAGAACTACCTAATATCTTCCTCTGTAAAATCAAATGCAAATAATTTAAGTTACATACTAGAAATTTCATTATTTTTTGGCTCACATTTTTTCCCAATTCAGTGATTGCTGACCACTCTTAAATATCATTTGGGACAAACTAATTTCCTTATAGATCACAGGATACACTAATAGATCACAGGATACACTTTTCTTATATAGTAACAATGACAAGAAACTGAGGGGGAAATGATCAGGTTGAAGGATATCAGATTATGCCTATCCTCATAGGCAGATTTTAAAACTAGTGGCTTTGCCACCACATCCTAGGTGGAAAGGCCCACAGGGATTTGAGTGCCAGACTTCTAGATTTCTCCTAAGGTTTCTGTTCTACTGAGACTCTTATTAGTTAACATACTTTTAGTTTTAAGTAATAGAAAACCAACTTAACATGACAAACAATAAAGGGAATTTATTGGCCCATATAACTGAAGAGTGCAAAAGTGATGGCTTCAGGTACGGCTTGATCTAGCAGCTCAAAATGCCCCCAAATGACCTTTTTACTCTCTACTTCTTATCGCTACTTCTTCGCTTGTGGCTCCACTCTAAGACACAGTTCTCGCTTCGTGGTCCCTGCTGGCTGCCAGAAGCTCCTAAGACTGTAGCTTCCAAGTTCAAGCACAGAGGGGAAAAGAGAATCTGCTTCTTGGTATCACAAACAAAAGTTCTGGAGTAGAGTTTCATTGGCACTGGTTGTCCTGATTTGAACCATATGTCTATTCTAGAACTAACCACTGTTCCTGGGGAGGTGGGGGATGTGGGAAGGGTATATGTCAATAAGCAGATTGGTGTTAGTCATTTCCACACAACACATGGCTGGCTGGGATGATTATCAGTTGGAAGGGGGAGCTAGGAATTGGATGCTGGAGAAAGGACTAACAAATGTATGCTGCAGCCACTAAATACTCTCAGGAATCTAAGAACAGAAAGGCATTTCCCCACACTGTTCAAACAAAGCTGGCCTGAGGGTAACACTCCAGTGTTTACTTTGGAACTTCTCTCTTTCCTCATAGATCTGGCAATTCAGCAGCCTCTTCTCCAAAATCAAGGGCTGGGAGTTTAATGAAGTTGCCTCCATGTCTGAGCACCTGAAGTCCTGTCCTTTCAACGTTGTAGAACACAAGACTGACCCGATTCTTTTGACCAGCATGTGTCAGCCCCGTAAGCAGGCCTCAGAGACTTTAGTCACAACCTTTAATGCCAGACCAAGAGGAAGACACACCTACTAAAGGCTCAGAAGCCACCCTTCTTGGATTCCCACTCAGGGTTACTGAAAGTTCGACAGAGTTTGGTTTTGAGGACTTCCTTCTGTAAACTGCAAATGTGCTTATCTCGGTGTTTTGGAACATGCAAATGTCCTTCAAAACCTGAGCAGTTGCACAAGGCCGAAGAATTTCCTAAGCCATGGCTTGTATAACTGCTATAGTGCCATACTGATAACTTATTTCCTCCCTCCCCCCACACTCTTTTTCTAAAATAAATCAGTCTGTGAAGTATTTTAAATAGGTGACTTGAGGCCATTTGGAAGATGAGATGAGAGAGCCGTGAAATTCCATAACCAGCACAGGCCTGTGCTTTTGTGGAGAGCTTTTCAGTTTATAAGCACTTGTAATGATATGGAGCAGGCAATGTAGGGATGGGGACTGACATGCCTCCCAGGGCACCCAGGGTGAAGGGCACAGTTTGAAATTTCTGGAGCTGGGGTTGTCCTGACAGCCAAGTCCAGGGTTTTTTTTAGTTGCCCCACTGCCTCTAAGCCCAGACAGTCCAAACAGCCCGAAAGAATAGAGACCTAGGCTAAGCACAACAGCCTCGAGGACACCAAAGGCCAAAGGATGAGAGGTAGAAATGAGGTCCTAGAATGAGATTGTTGTATAGAATCCTGGCAATATATAGAAGGACAGCCTTGAAAAATGAAGAAGAATCCAGAGGAGATATTATATTTATGGAGAAAATTAGGACCAAAAGCCAGAGCCTACTTTCAAACATTTTAATAGTGACTTGAGAGTCAAGGTTCTTTTCCTCTGAAAATTATATTCTCCGTCTGGATTAGGGAGAGCACAGGCACGGGCCAGCACCACCCTGAGCTAAGTGAAATGATCATGAGACACTAACACCAACTTCAGTGTCATGTCAGAATGCACAGGGTGGCCCAAGGAGACCTCGCATTTGGAAAAGTCCAGACAAGGCCCACTGCAGCTCTTGTGGTACCAGTCGCCAGGTCCTAGACATCACTTGAGTACCCCATCGGGATTCTTGAGAAGGAAGACATCTGAACATAGTGATTCCCTATAATTGCTCCTACCTATTGCTGGCCATGACTGCATTCTGTCAAAAGTGCGTGACACTTCTGGGTTTTGGTAACAAATAGTTAAAACTTATGAGAACAAAAGTAAGATAAAACTACACAATAGAAGCTGGCATCCCTTAAAGCAGGGTTTCATGGAACTACTGACATTTTAGACTGGATAATTCTTTGTCATAAGGGACTGCCCTATGTGTTATAGGATGTTTAGCAACACCCTTGACCTCTATCCAATAGACACCAGTAGCACCCCTACAGCTATAACAACCAAAAATGTCTCCAGACATTGCTAAAAATCCTCTGGGAGCAAGATCGCTCCTGGTTGAGAACAACTGCCCTAAAGAATGACATGCCAATGGCAGTAAATTAGGATAAGCTTTTTAGTACAGCAAATTCTTATCTCACATAGTTATCTACAATGGTCATGATTTCATGCAGCTCTTCTTTCTTTACCAAATAGGTTTTAGACACATGATGATTTTAAGTTAGGAACCAAATGGAGATGGTTTGTTTGGTGTGGCTTCACGTCCCTGGGTCACAGTGCAAAAAGTATATCCTATCAGCTCTCCAGGTATAGCTGAAGCCAGGAAGCCTGAGCTATTTATCTTAACCCTAACCCTAACCCTCACCCTAGCCCTAGCCCTAACCCTAACCCTCTCTCTTTAATTGATGCCATTTTCCTAGCAGTCCTCAGCAAGTGAGAAAGAAGGGAAAAGGAGGATGGGCATTGTGGGGGAGCAGAGAACAAAGAATTTAACCAACCACAACAAAAAAGAGCCTAGTCAATATGAATGTTTGTTATTGCCTGGGTTCCCCTCTGAACATGGTTCAGAGCTGGTATAGATGAAGTAGATGACACCCCTGAGAAGAGTCAAGAAGGCATTAAAGCAAATCCCAGAGTAGAAGTATGCTCATCTTCCATTATAATGTGCCACTTGGTACTACTGAGTAACGTAACTCTATTTTTCCTAATCCTTATTGTTTGGTTTATATTTCACATTTGCATATAAGGCGCCATTTTCTAAAAAATATAACTAGAATGTGAGCTAAGATTTTATTCAGTGAAGATGAATAACTGTGACAGCTAAGCAGTGAAGTGGGAGAAAAGGAACTGATCCAGGGTTCAGTTCCATGTGTTTTGAATCTAGTCCTTCCTATATGGAGGAAGAAAGTTCTGAAACTCCATTTTGGGTTTCTTATTTTATTAGAAAAAGAAAGCAAGGGGAGCTGTAGACTAAGGGAGGTGAAAATCCGGGGCTAACATGAGCTGCAAGAGAAGTATAGAGAAAGGAAGGGAGCAGAGGGCTCTTCCTTGACATTCTGGGCAGCCCAGGGTGCAGGAGGGCATTCAGGAGACTAACCGCACTGCTCTGTGGGCCCCACCCTTCCAGGCACGCTTTACTTTCCCAGCTGCTGCCTTCAGCACAATACTGAGCTGATCAACATCATCAAACACATTTTACAAGGTATCTAATTGTATATGTTGCAGGAAACCAGAGTATTGCAGGTATCCACTGGCCTACACAATCAAGCACATCTTATGGTGAGAGGGCAACTGGAGAAAAAGGGAAGCCTTTTAGAGAGATGGTGGATTAGACAGATGATTTGATTAGTGGGATGAAGCTGTAGTGAGCAGCGTGAGCAGCAAGCATCACCTGAGAGAGGCAAGACAGCTAGACACGGCTTCAGATTAAGAAGCAGCTAAGGAGAGTGAAAGGGGACTGTGGACCCAAGAATAGGAGCCTGGACAGGGAGGTGTCTGCGAGCAGAGCCCTTGAAGAGAATCACCACCAAGAAAGTCAGTCTAGGTAGAGATCAGCCAAATGTGGAGGGCGAGGTCTATAGAACTGAGGCAGAAAGGACTTTATTGCCTTAACAATATGAGGATCTGGAAAAGAAGTTTCTGTCTTATAATGAAGGGAAAAGTGAAAAGCAAGGTGGAACTTGGATGTAAGAATAAAACCACTGCAAAAGTCTGATCTATGTGTGATGGCAGATCAAACTGAAGTGAAGAATGAGATTGTGTATATCTAGTGTGACTTACCTCTATACACTGGAAACCCCAATGTCTCTATAGGCAGAAATAAAAGCTGCTTTTCACTCTGAAAGTCTAACTGGGTGAATCTTATAAGTGAGGTGTAGAGACAGATGCGTGATTCACTGGCATAGAAGTCGCTGTGGAAACAAAGGAGTGTGTGTCTTGAAGAAAAGCCAAGGAATGAGCCTGAGGGATGCAGTGCTCTAAGCACATGGACAGCTCACCACTGAACTTTTAAGGACTTTTATAAAGTCCTGCAGCAACTATGGGTCTCAGACACCAATCCTAGCTCTTCCTTGATCCCACTGTCTTCTCCATCTTTGAAAGCTGAATCCAACTTCAGATACTGGTTATAGCACAGACTTCTATTTTCCACCAATCAAAGATCCCCTATACCAAATCCCTGACTTTCATTTCGATTTGATTTTGGTTTTGCCTAGGATCTCCTATTCTGGACCTTGCCGAGCCCAATGGCCTGGGGGTTAGAATAAACTCACCGTGTCCTGGCCTTTCATTCTCCCTCATCCCCATACTTTGCTTGGTGATTTGCTTTTTCCCTATCACTGGCCGTCCAAAGGTCCTCACTTCTTCTATCAGCAGCCTCAGCTCTGGACCACACAGAAACTTTATGAGCTTCCTCAGTCTACCTTCTTACATGACCATCAATTTCATTCATCCAGCTACAAGGAAGCCTAGACTTTCTCTAGCAGAGGCCACTCTCACTCTAAATCCTCTTAACACCTCATTGTTTCTTTAGTTTTAGTCTTTTTCTCTTAGCTAAATCTTTTCCTCCTTTCTTTCCCCTAATTTGTGCTTTTGCCTCAAGAATCATTATGCATGAAAAGAGTGTAGTCATTACTCCCAGGCAGAAAGTGGCTGGCCTCTCACAACTGCTGAAGCCAGCAGAAGTTGAACTGTCTTATCATGGACCCTTCCTGGCCCCTGTTCCCCTACCTTACTGCCATTCCCCAGGCCCATCTTGTTTTGGACTGGGTATAAGTAGAGTCTAAGGAAAGGGCACGGCCCTTGACATCCAGGGTGCAGAGTGATGGGCAGTGGAGGAGGGAGTTTTCTGGATACCCCTAAAAGATGGGAGGAGAATTGGAGCCATGAGAGTCAGGACCATTGAGGGCTGCATAAAAAGTACTATTTACCTCAGAATAGAGGTGAGCCATGGTCCCGCTTTATTTCCACTTTAGGACTGAGCAGAGAAAAGATTCAGAGATATTTCTGCAGAGAAGGAAAGTGAGCAGACAGCACAACCAGGAAATATAAACATACCTTCCCAGGTAAGCAAACCAGGAAGCTCAGAGTTCACAAACAAAGGAAGGTAGAGTGGGGGTGGGGGTGGGTGTTAGAGGGGGGATTCATGGGGAAGGAGGCAGGACACAAGATAAACATCCCTGAGATCATCTAGGGTATCCAGGATAGACAGGACACCGAGGGGAAGGAGACCTCCTTCCTCATGCTGTCTCTGCCCCAAACCCTAATGGAGAGGGAGAGACAGTCTGTCTAGAGCTTCAGGCAACTCATGACATCCTGTCAGACACTTGCAGCAGAAATGGAAAGTGGGTGGAGGCAGAGCCACTTGGGACAAGGGAAGTCACAGTGCAGAAGACACACAGCCACAGTTACTGGAGGAGCGTGACATAATTTGCAGGGAAGAGTCCAAAGTGGCCGTGGCAACGTCCCCGCCACCAGCCCTCATCCACCATCTCAATGTCAGTGATGATGTCATCTGGATCAAAGGAAATCTCATCACTTCCCTCTGGGGAGAAAATTGACAGAATATTAGGATGGTCAGGCAGGAATCCCTCCACCCCTGTGTCCCCTTTAAACCTCAGGAAGGGAAATAGGCCTGTTCTTGATACCAAGTCTGGGCCCTATCCTGACCCCCAGAATCCATCCCTGTTCTCATGTATCAAGGGCCTCCAGGCACCAGACCCCTCAGGCCACTCCCAACCTACCTCCTTGGTAATCATACAGGGCTATAGCTGAGATCCCAGCCCCAGCCCCAGCCGGGCAGCCTGATGATCCTGCATAATGAGAAATATGAATATGGTCTCATCAACATGGAAAAGGAAAACAGACAGGTCCTTCTGTGTAATGGGGGAATTCTCCCTCTTCCTCTCCCCTACAGCTGACCAAATCCAGGAGCTGCCCCACCACTCACCAGCCAGAGTGGAGGAAAAAGAGGGATCCTCAGGCTCGAGCACATCTTCATAGTCGCCCTTTGGTTCCTCATCTGGCTCATGTCTGTCCATTTCCCCAACATCCTCATAGTCATTCTCTGGTTCAGGCTCGGGCTCAGGCTCAGGTGCTTCTTCATACACTGGCTCTTCCTCCATCTGGAAGCCTTCTGGAGTCCTGGGGGGCAGAGCTGGGGGCTCCTCGTTGTCCTGAGAAGAGACAGTGTGAAGCAGGGTGACATCTGTTCACCAGGAGCTGCCTCTCCAAAATCTCCCAATGGAGGACTGCTAAGACCCCACCCATCCCCATGCTTCCATTCTACCCTCCATCCTTGCATCCTTCTAACAGCCTCTCCTAGGGAACACAATCTTTCATCCCTCTTCATTCATCCACCTCCCACACCCATCCACTCAAAGCACCTACCAAAAGATGATAGAAGGGAAGCAGAAAGCGAGTCAGAATCCTTGGAAGACCAAGAAAACATTGAAGCAAAAGCAAAAGCAAAAAAAAAAGGTGAAAGATGACAGCTAGGATGACTAAATATCCTAGTCTTCCCAGGACTGGGTGACTTCCCAGAATATAGGACTTTCCGTGCTAAGACCAGGATAGTCCCAGACAAACCAGGATCATTGATCATCCTGTACAGTCCACCAACTAGGACATGAGGAGCTGGGGAAGGAGCAGAGAATCTTTGGGGCTCTGCTTACCTCTGGGGGATCCTGCCTTGGGGGCTGGGTAGGCACTGGTTGTTCCCTACTGGTTCTCACAGGCCCACGCTCTGATGACAGACAGCTCCCTGCTGGAGGCCAGGCCTGTGGAGGATGAAGCAACTTTCCAGTGAGCAAGAAACTTCCATCTTCTCTCTTGTACTGACCTGGAATACCCCTTCCTACCTCTGCCAGTTCAAATCATCCATTCCTCAAGATGGGCTCCAACCTGAAATGACAGCTCCTTCCTCTTGTTGTTGCAGCAGTAATTGACTGCACTGGCTGGTGACCTATCTTCTGTTGTACTATGTAAATCTTGGTTTTTTTCAGCTAACATTCGCATATGTATATATGAAGCTTAATTACACAATCAGATTGAAATCTTCCTGAAGACAGGGATAGCAACTGTAGACTTTGCCTAACACAGGGGAGGCCTGTGCATTATTTTCTAAGAATACAGACCCCTTAGGCTCTTGTCTGGGCAAGGAATCCTTGACGTGGATCCCGAAGGGCCAAACACTTACCTCTGAGGAGATTTTCTTGGGCAGTGGGGCTGACACCACCGGCTCTTCCATAGTGGCCACTGGTGGCTGAGCCTCATGGCTCATCTTTACCAAGGCCTTTCTCTCCTGTTGCTGCCTGGCTTTCTGTTGTGCCTTCTCCTCTTCCTCCTGCTTCCTCTTTTCCTCAGCCATGGATTCAAATTTTGCCTTCAGCCCACGGGCGCCACTGGAAGCTGCAGACACAGGCAAGAAAAATTAGGGTTGTCTTGGGTTGGAGGTAGGGGAGTGGCACTGGAATGAAGAAGAGGAACCAGTTAAATATCCAAAGAAGAGCAGGTAGAGAGGGGACTCATGGAAAGGGAGGTAAAGAGGTATCAATGAAGGAACAAGGGGGTTATAGGAGGATAAGGTAACCCTGATGCCTAGATTTCCATACAGCCAGGCCATGTGATCTCAGACTCTTGCCCTTTTTAAATCATAAGGCTTGTTCTCCTAACCTGCATCTTCTCTGTCCACATTTCTTAAAGCTGTATGCCCTCTGGCCACCATCTACCCTCTATCCCCCATCCAAAGCTCCTTTCCTTATGTGTTCTTCCCAAATGGCTCCCTCCCTTCCTCCCTCTGTTCTCTGCATACACTTTCTTCACCAGTGTCACTCAGATATCCACTTAACCTAATTTTTTCTAGGAGAGCGAATCTGGGAATATGAGGGTAGGGGTCAAGTCTACCTCAGCTAATCTAGGTAGGTAAAGGCTTGGAATAGGTAGTCTAAGAAGAAAAAAGAATGAGAAGGGAGAAGAGGTTGAAGAGCACAGAGAAAGGGAATTAAAACTTACCAGCCTCTATGGGTGTTGTCTTCTTATAAGCTGTGGTTGGGGCCTCCATTTCATTGAAACCAACAGCGCTCTGCAGGTAAGAGAACAGTATAGGTAGTGGTGGGGACAGGGAAGGGAGTGGTAATAATCCAGAAGGCAGTAGTCGTGATTGGGTCACTATAGGAGGTCTCCCTAACCTTTTGATGCTTACAGTTAGACAGGGTATTCAAATAGTGTTGTTTTGTGGCAGAGAGAGGGGTAAAGAAGTTCTAGACTGGTGGGATTAGCTCTCCTTTTAAAAAGCTCAGTGTTCCTGGAATCTCACATCTCTAAGTCCAGTTGCCTGGAATGCAGGAGGGTCTCAGGCCAGTACATGAAGAGGTGTAGGGGACGACTGAATGGAGTGGGAAGAAATTATTGATTGAGTTAATCAATGCCAAGCAATCAATGAAATTTCGAATATCTTTTCCTGGAGTTTTTCTGTTTCTCTGTCTCTCTGCCTCCCTCCACTCTCCTTAGTTAAAGCTCAGGCTTCTGGGACTTCCCTGGTGGTCCATTGGGTCAGACTCCATGCTCCCAGTGCAGCGGGCCAAGGTTCGATCCCTGGTTGGGGAACTAGATCCTGCACGCATGCCGCAACTAAGAGTCCGCGTGCCACAACTAAGACCCGGCACAGCCAAAATAAATAAATATTAAAAAAAAAATCTCAGGCTTCAGAAGACATGCCCTTTAGATGCTGAGGGCAGTCAATGGGGAGAGCAGGACACCAGGAGGACAGTGCAGGGCACCTAGCTTTGCCCATCCTTTTTCCAGCTTTGCCTCTCACTCTTCTCCATGTACTTCAGGGAACCATTCTCAAGACACTAGTGTTCTGGTGCTTTACCTTATCCACTCGGTCCTTTTGGATGCCATACTGACCACCAAAGCCCTTGGCATAATCTGCAGGATGGAAAGGTCTGAGAGTCATAAGAGGAGTTAAAATGCTAGAAATGTATGGGAAGAGGGAGTGGGAGCAGTGAGAAGGAAGACCAGAAGACAGGAATGAGGAAAAGAGAAAGATCAATGAGAAAGTGTGAAAATCAGATGATAGAGAGGCATGGGTGGGAAAAGATGAAAAAGGATGGGGAGAAAAACACTTGAGAGAGAATGGAGGGATGAGAGATGGGAAGAGAGAAACAAAAAGAAAGAAGTGACAGAAAAGGGGAAAATATACGGGAAGAAACAGGAAAAATTGAAGAGCGCCCCCCAGCCATCCCCTATGTGTCCCAGGGAAGAAGGCTTTCTCTCTGTGAAGCAGAGGGGCCTCTAAGACTCACAGCCAAATCACCCTCTTGTCATCACCCGGCCTGTCTATCTTCATCCCTTTCTCAGTGATCCCTTTTCTTTGGTCATCCTCCTCTGTCCTGCTCCTTAGCTTGCTGTTTTCCCCTCCACCCCTGTTGGTCTCCTCCCAGCTACCCCTATATACGTACACTTACTCTTCATCCCACCACTTCCTGCATACCTGCCCCTCATATTCTGGGTCCTCCATGTCAGCCTTCAGGGACAGAAGGAGGGCTCCATGTACCCTGTGACCTCCCTCCTCTCCAATCCCAACTTACCTCTTTGGGATTCGTGTTTCTCTGTCTCTCCCTTGTAGTCATATCCCAGAGCTGCCTTGTCCCGTTTGTCCTCCTCTATCCCATAACGGCCACCGAAGCCATGAGAGTAATCTATGGTGGAAGGAGCAGTCATGAGAGCTCACTCTCAGCCCACGGGGAAGTGCTGTGGAAGAGAAGAGTCAGGAGGGATGGGTGCAGGGTGATAGGGGCCCAGGAAGAGAGCGGGGCTTGAATACTGGGAAATGAAAGAGAAATGTTATTCTAAGCAACTTCTATAAGCTTTAAACAATGTTCACTCTTTTCCTCTCCTCCCTTACTTCCATTTCAAGATGAGAAGATCATTTGAATTTTCTCCCTTCTTCAAGGAAGGAGAAAGTATAGAGAGTATAGAGGAGAGACTTCCAGAAAAAAAGAGAGATGCATATGAAATATATGCCTTTCCCTAATCTTATATAAACACTTAGCAACGTCAGAAAAATAGAGCAATCTCTCTTTTTTTTCTTTTTTAAATAGTGAATCTCAAAAGAAAAGAAGAAAAAAATTCCCGGCTCCAGAAACAAACAGGTGAATCAAAACAGCTGACATGATGGTAATTATGAGCTGATATAGAAAACCCAACCTGTTTTAAGTCCCAAATTTAGTGCCTAGGGATTAGGATCTAGGGTCTGGGGTTCTACTTCCTATAAGAACAGGTGGCTGGAGAGCAGGTTCTGCCCACTCCTATAAAAGAATTCTAGAAAAAGCCTACTTACCTGTCCAGGGAAATAGTGAGAGGAACTGTAGGGTTCTTTTTAGCATTTAGAGAAGGAAGTTTTACCTATGAGACTTGGAAACTCCAAGCCTACACCTGAAGGTGTGGGATACAAATATCCAGTTTCATGCTACTTATATCATACAGAAATTCTAAGCTGAGAAATTAATTGAATACTGATGTAGGAAAATATATACCGCAGAAACAGTAAGCATCAGAAGGATGGCATGAATATGAGACAAAATGGACCCCAAGACAAAATGCATTATAAAAGGTAAGAGAGACATAACTCAATGATAAGAGTGCAACTTGTCATTCATCAGGAATATATATGCTGGTATAAACCTATTATCAGAATCAAAACTCATGAAGCAAAGCAGAAAGCAAAATAGACAAATCTATGATCATAGTTGAAAATTTTAACACTCTTTTCTCATTATTAGTAGAAAATTTCGACAAAAAGAATCTAAAATTATAGAAGGCCCAAATAACATTATCAAGACCTAAGTGACATTTACAGAATATTGCACCCCCAAACTGCATAATACACATTTTTTTCCATGCACATATAACATTCACCAAGATAGACCACATGCTTGTCCTTATAAAAAGTTTCAATACATTTCAAAAGATTGGAACATGAGATAACATATCCTCTGATCACAATAGAATTAAATTAGAAGTTAATAACAATAAAATTAGAAAATTTCCCCACTACCTAGAAAATAAGCAACACACTTCTAAATAACTCATGGGTCAGAGAAGAAATGAAAGGGAAAATTAGAAAATGTTTTGAACTGAATGAAAATTAAAATATGCATGACTGTGGAATATAGCAAAAACAGTGTTTAGAGGGAAATATATAGTTTTAAAAGCCCATACAGTAAACAAAGGTTTAAAATCAATTATCTAAGTTTTTACCTTAAGAAGCTACAGAAAGAACAAACTAAAACCACATTAAAATGAAAGGAAAAATAATGAAGATAAGAGCAGAATTCAATAAAATTTTAAAAACAAGTAAATAATAGAGAAAATGAGCAAAGCCAAAAGATACTTCTTTGAAATTAATAAAAAATAATACTGATGAATCTCTAGCAAAAATAATTAAAAAGAGAAAAAACACAAATTAACAATATCAGAAGTAAAAGTGAACATATCACTATAGAGCTTACAGAGGTTAAAAAGAAAATAAGGGAATACTATAAATGAAGTTATGCCAATATATTTGAAAATATAGATAAAAATGGAAACATTCCTTGAAAAGCACACTATACCATAACTTAAGAAAGACTGAATAGACCTGTATCTATTTAAGAAATTGAATTCATAATAGAAAACAAAAATCATAAAGAAAACATGGTCTATTACTATTAAAACCCCTAGAACTCAGACAGAAATAAAGGCATAGTTTCTCTGATGGGAAACTTCTCAACCCAGGGCACATAAAACTCTCATAAAACAAATATCCCTTTCCCCCCACTGAAATAAATTTGCAAACAAAAATTACAAACCATCAAAAAAATAAATAACCATGAGGGAAAACAGATTAACTGAACAGAAGAATTAGCACCCTCAAGAACTGCAAATAATATAACAGTGTGAAAGAAATTATAAAATGAATACTTTAAAAATAATTAAAGAGTTAAAGAAGGGTGAAAAACATAAGGAAAGCAATAGGGCATTATGGAAAAGGAATCAGCAGATTTTCTATAGAATCAAAGGGAACTTGCACAAATGAAAATACATGAAATAAAGTTAAAAATTTAGTGGACAACTTAAATGATAATTAAATACAGCTGAAGGGAGAGTTACAGAACTTAACAAAGATCCAAGGGAATTACCCAGAATACAACACAGGGAGATGAAGAGATGGAGATAGACAAGAGAAATTAAGAGACATCAAGAACACAACTTATCAAAATTTTTGGATGCAGTGGAAGCAGTGCATAAGGAAAAGCAATGCATATATTAGAAAAGAAAAAAGACCTAAAATCAACAATTTAAGTGTCCACCTTAGGAAACTGGAAAAAGAAGAACAAATTAAATACAAAGTAAGCAGAAAAAATAAATAAGAATTGGAGCAAAAAAATCAATGGAATTAAAAACAAGAAGCCTATAGAGAAAATCAAGGAAACCTAAAGCTGGTTCTTTGAAAAGATCAATAAAATAGATAAGCCTCTAGTCAGACTAACAAAGAAAAAAAGAGAGAACATAAATTACTATAATATCAGAAATGAAAGAGGCTACATTACAACAGATTCCAAGGAAATTAAAAGGTAATAAAATAATACTATGAACAACTTTATTCCCATAAATTTGATGACCAAGATGAAATGGACCAGTTCCTTGAAAAGACACAACTGCCAAAACTTACACAAAAAGAAACAGATGACCTGAAAGGCCTATATCTACTAAAGAAATTGAATCAATAATTAATAATCTTCCGAAACAGGAAGCACCAGGCCCACATGTGTTCACTGGTGAATTCCACCAAATATTTAAGGAAGAAATTATACCAGTCCTCTGCACACTCTTTCAGATGATAAAAGCACAGGGAATACTTCACAACTGTCCTATAAGGTCAGCATTACTCTAATACTCAGACCAGACAAAGACACTACAATAAAAGAAAACTAGAGACCAGTATTTCTCATGAACACAGATTCAAAAATCCTCAACAACATATTAACAAATCGAATCCAACAATGTATAAAAATAATTATCTACCATGACCAAGTGGGATTCATCCTAAGTATGCAATGATGGTTCAACATTTGAAAATAAATTAGCATAATCCATCACATCAACGAGAAAAAAAGAAAAATCACATGATCATATCAATAGATGCAGAAAAAGCATTTGACAAAATCCAACACAATTCACAATAAAAATTCTCAGTAAACTAGAAATAGAGGGGAAATTTCTCAACTTGATAAAGACTATCCACAAAAACTCTACAGCTAGTATCATACTTAATGGTGATAAACTTAAAGCCTTCCCACTAAGATCAGGTACAAGGCAACTATGGCCTGTCTCATCACTCCTTTTCAACATTGTACTTGAAGTCTTTGCTAATGCAATAATGCAAGAAAAAAAGTATGTAGACTAGAAAAGAAGATATACAACTGTCTTTGTTCACAGATGACATGACTGTCTATGTAGAAAATCCAAAAGAATTGACAAATTCTTGAAACTAATAAGCAATTATGGCAAGGTTGCAGGATACAAGGTTAATATACAACAGTCAATTGCTTTCCTATATACAAGCAACAAATAAGTGGATTTTGAAATTAAAAATACAGTATCATTTACATTACTACCCCAACAAAGAAATGCTTAGGTATAAACTTAAAATATGTATAAGATCTATATGAGGAAAACTATGAAATTCTGATGAACAAAATCAAAGAAAACTAAGTAAATGGAGAGATATTCCATGTTCATAGATAGGAAGTCTCAATGTTGTCAAGATGTCAGTTCTTCCCAACTTGGTCCATAAACTCAGTGCAACCCCAATCAAAACCCCAGCAAGTTATTTTTTGTATCAACAGTTTCTAAAGTTTATATGAAGAAGCAAAAGACCCAGAATAGCCAACACAATATTGAAGGAGAACAAAGTTAGAAGACTGACACTACCAGACTTTAAGACTCACTATGAAGCTAAAGTAATGAAGACAGTGTGGTAGAGGTGAAAAAATAGACAAATAAATCAGTGGAACAGAACAGAGAGCCCAGAAATAGACCTCCATAATTATAGTTAACTGATGCTTGCCAAAGGAGCAAAGGTAACACGATGAAGACAAGATAGTCTTTTCAACAAATGGTGCTGGAACAAGTGGACATCCACAGATTAAAAAAACAATGAATCTAGACACATGCATTACAAAAATTCTCTTTTCACAAAAATTAAATCAAAATGGATCATAGACCTAAATGTAAAATGCAAAACTATAAAACTCCTAGAAGATAATATAGGAGAAAACCTAGATGACCTTAGGTATGGTGATGCCTTTTTAGATACAACACCAAAGACACAACACATGACAGAAATAATTGATAAGCTGGATTTCACTAAAATTTTAAAAACTTTTGCTCTGTGAAAGACAATGTTAAGCAAATGAGAAGACAAGCCTTACACTGGGAGAAAATCTTTGCAAAAGGCACATGTCATAAAGGACTGTTACCCTAAATATACAAAGAATTCTTAAAACTCAACAATAACAAAACAAGCAACCCAACTTTTTAAATAGGTCAAATATATTAATAGATGCCTTGCCAAAGAAGATATACAGATAGCAAATAAGCATATGAAAAGATGCTCTACATCATATATCATCAGGGAAATGCAAATTAAAACAATAATATAACACTACACACCAATTAGAATGGCCAAAATCCAGACTACTCACAACACCAAATGCTGGTGAGGATGTGGAGCAACAGGAACTGTCATACATTGTTGGTGGGAATGCAAAATGGTGCAGCCACTTTGAGTGACAGTTTGGCAGTTTCTTACAAAACTTAACATACTCTTACCATAGGATCCAGCAATTGCACTCCTTAGTATTTACCCAAAGGAGCTGAAAATGTAGGTCCACACAAAAACCTGCACACAGATGTTTATAGCAGCTTTATTCATAATCGCCCAAACTTGGAAGCAACCACTATGTTCTTCAGTAGGTGAGCGGATAAATAAACTGGGGTACATCAAGACAAAGGAATAATATTCAGCAAAAAAAAAAATGAGTTATCAAGCTACGAAAAGACATGGAGGAAACTTAAATGCATATTACTAAATGAAAGAAGCCAATCTGGAAAGGCTACATGGTATATGATTCCAACCATAAAATATTCTGTAAAAGGCAAAACTATAGAGACAAAAAAAAATCAGTGGTTGCTGAGGGATGAGGGAGATGAATAGGCAGAGCACGGAGGATTTTTAGGACACTGAAAATACTTTGTATGACAGTATAATGATGGATATATGTCAGTATACTTTTGTCCAAACCCATAGAAAGCACAACACCAAGAGCGAACCCTAAAGTAAACTATGGACTTTGGCTGACTTTGATGTGTTAGTGTAGAATCATCCTTGGTAAGAAAAAAAAAAAGAAAGAAAAAAAAATACACACACACACACCATTCTGGTCAGTGATGTTGATAATGGGGGAGGCTATGCATGTATGGGTGCAGGACTGTAACTTCCTCTCAATTTTGTCCTAAATCTAAAAAGTTCTGAAAACATAAAGTCTTTTTTAAAAGAGAGAGAGAGATGGAGAATTAAAAGTTCTAATATACATCTGAGTTCCAGAAGAAAGAATAAAAGAGAAGAGAGGAGAGACACTACCTAAAGAGAAAATGCCCGAGAACTTTTCATGTTGAAAGTTAATTCTCAGGTTGAAGAGGAGCAATAAGTCTCATGTAGAATAATAAAAATAGATCAACACCTAGATATAGCCTGATGATATTTCAGAACATCAGAAACAAAAAGAAAAATTTTCATGAGACAAAACAAAAACAGAGAGACAAGACATGTTACGTACAAAGGAATGATGATCAGACTAACCCAAGAGAAATGCCATAGATGATGGAATAATATCTTCACCACGATGAAGGGAAAATAACAATGAAGAATGGAGCAAAATAAATTTTTTTTTCAGACAAAGCCTGGGAGTTCTCTCAGAGACTCTCACTGAAAGAATTATCAAAGGATATACTCTAGCAAGAAGGAATAGAAGAAGTAAGGAGGAAACAATGAAATATTATAAACAATGATGAGCTAGTAAACTGGGAAATATGTTGGTCAATTTAAATAAGCCTTCACCTAGTAATAATAATGATTAATTTTTGTGGGGTTTAAAAACAAACACATGTAATCGATATACTAAACAATTGTTCAGTTGGTACAAAGACTGTAGAACGTAGAAGAAATGTAATTAAATTATTCTTCATTTCCTGTGTTACTCAGGAAGAAATAGTGATTAATTTAAAACTTAAGCCACAGATGCACATTAAAACTTAGGAATAACTTCCTAAAATAAAGGAGCATAATATCCTATTTTTGATCCATTAGAGGGGAAATGGGACTAAAGAAAACCTGACCAAGCTCATAGAAAGCAATATAGGAGAAAAAAAGAAGCAAGTACATGCTTGGATTTAAAAATAAAATAAAATAGCAGGGAACTGGGCCATGGAACTAAAGGGAGTTGACGATGGCTGTTGGTAGTTGAAGTCTGGGTAGTCAGGTTGCTAAGGCTGAAATGCAGGGTCCTTGCCTTTCTGAGATGCGTGTTTTTCCACTTCTCCTTTGTAATCAAAGCCAACAGCTGACTACAGAGAAAAGGAGAGAGAATTGATTAGAGTCAGAGATGAACATTTTCTCCCGCTCTCACTTACCCTTACACCTATAGCTCAGCCCAGGGGTTAGTTATAAGGGCTCAGAGCTGAGTATGGGGGTTCAATGTAGAAACAGACAGTACCCTGACAGGCTGATGTAAAGGCAGTGTGCTACAAACCAATGACCATGGGCCCTGGACACAGATAGCTCTAGATCCAAACCCCAACCCCACCTTTCCTATTTGTAGTTGTGTAACTTTAGGTATGTCCTTTAATATTACTAAGCCTCAGCCTCTTTTTTTAGTTTTGTGTTTCTTTTGGCCATACGGAGGCATGTGGGATCTTAGTTTCCTGACCAGGGATGGAACCCGTGCCCCCCTGCAGTGGAAGTGCAGAGTCTTAACCACTGGACTGCCAGGGAAGTCCCCCTTGGGCCCTTTAAATATGAAATGAAAATAGGTATACCTGCCTTATTAACCTCAACTGTAAAATGATTCCAACTTATTTGGGATATTGTGAGGACTAAATGGGGCAAGATACATAAAGTGTGGGCACTCAGTAAATTAGTGTTTTTCTTCCTAAGTCTCATGAAACTAAAATGAGATAATAGCTAGAAAACTGCCTTTTAAACTATAAAGCAGCACTGTGCACATGTAAGAGATATCATCCTATACTGACTGATTATACTGTGCCTCTTCTCTTTCCTTACACAACAGTGGAAACGCAGAGATGTAGATTTTGGTGGGATGAGAGGCAACCAGGAGAATCTGGATCCTAGCTGCTTTGGGACAGGATATATTGGTAAATATCTAACCTAGCTATGTCCCCATATGGCTCAGTAATAGGTCCCTAAGCAAGTCTAGATTTTGCATTTTAAAAGTTATTAGTATGGGACTTCCCCGGTGGTGCAGTGGTTAAGAATCAGCCTGCCAATGCGGGGGACACAGGTTTGAGCCCTGGTCCGGGAAGATCCCACATGCTACGGAGCAACTAAGCCCGTGGGACACAACTACTGAGCCTGTGCTCTAGGGCCCAAGAACCACAACTACTGAGCCCTCGTGCCACAGCTACTGAAGACCACACGCCTAGAGCCCATGCTCTGCAACAAGAGAAGCCACTGCATGAGAAGCCCACGCACCACAACAAAGAGTAGGCCCCGCTCGCCACAACTAGAGAAAGCCCGTGGGCAGCAATGAAGACCCAATGCAGCCAAAAATAAATAAGTAAAATAAATAAATTTATTTTTAAAAAAGTTATTAGTATGTATTGTTTCTTGATTTACAAGACCCACTGATTGTTAAGGTGATTCGGTTTGTGGCTGGTGAGGCAGGAATTGAAAGAAAGAACAGTGAAAGATTAGGCAAAGGCAGTAGGGGAGCCAAGAAGGAAGAGAAACTGCACCCTGATTAGAGACCATTACGTGCTCCATATTCCATTACTGCTTTTAAAAATTATCCTCTGTGCTTTTACTTTACCTTACAGTATGCTTTGAACTTTTCTGGGTTTTTTTACCCCTACAATTCAAATAACACTCTAACACTTAGCTTTAAGGATTCAGGCCTACTTATTAACAGCTGCAGGTTAAACAAACAAACAAACAAAATCTCAGCTAGCTGTGAAGGAAATGTCCCCTCTGTGTGCTGCTGCAGGGCAGAGACACTACTCTGCCCCATAAAGAATGAGCTCAAAGAATCTGATCTACTAAGGTGTGAAAATGAGAACATGAATGAGTTATCAATCGTACTCTCCGGACCACTCTATCGTCTGTAATCATGCTGTCCTTTTTCTCTTTCTCTCTTTAAAACTATCACTACTTTTTGTACAAAGGAGTCTTTAAAACACCTGGACTTCAAGGAGTTAGTACTAAGTCCTGTGAAAAGTAACCTTCACCTTCTAAAAACATTGTAACCTTAATTAGTTGTTTTACTTGATTATTTGCTACCATTGTAATAATATTTCAGCTGATATGTCTGTTTTCCTGAAAGGCATAAATATTTATAAGGCTTTCATATTAGACCAAAGGAGGAACTTTGGAATTTCCTCTTCTCCCTTCATGCGTACAGGTATGATAAAACCAATGGCTTAACATAGCACAGGGAGATCAGCTCGGTGCTTTGTGACCACCTAGAGGGGTGGGATAGGGAGCGTGGGAGGGAGACGCAAGAGGGAGGGGATATGGGGATATATGGTATAGCTGATTCACTTTGTTATACAGCAGAAACTAACACACCACCGTAAAGCAATTATACCCCAATAAAGATGTTTAAAAAATAAACAAATAAATAAAATAAAATGCAGGGGGAAAACAATAAAACAATGGCTTAGGGATTCCTTATTCAGAGTTTGGGAGTCTTTGTCTCTTTTAAATTAACACCTTTCAGGTCAGCATGTGGCCTCCAACAGCGGCACCAAAGAACTTGCTGAAGGGGGTGTGGGAGCCATCCTCATGATGGACCCTCCGTGAGGCCACTGCCCCATCTTTCCACAGGAGAAGCACAGACCTACATTCAAGGTGATTGTTGGTAAGTCCCACATGATCTGAGTTGGGTGGCACAGGGAGAGAGTTGTCACTTACCTTGTCTGCCCTGTCCTTCTCCACTCCGTATTTGCCCCCAAAGCCTCTGGCAGCATCAGTCTGGGAAGAGTGCTTCTCCACCTCAGCAACATACTCATGGCCCACAGCACTCTGAAAAAAATCAAGATCGGAATGAGTGAGAAGATAAAAATGACCATGAAAAAATAAAATGATCAGAGATAGGATGGGATGTAAGAATACAAGAAATTCCACTCTAGGTCACACAGATAATCTCTGACGGAGTGCCAAGGAACGTGTGATGGGAGAGCAAGATGACTTTTTCTGGAACCTTGCACATCCTGACTCTTCTTTAATACCACTAGGAACCCATCATTTAGGAAACTCCCATAGGATGGGTTGGGAACCAGAAGGATAGAGACTACATAGACAGGGAAGTGTTTAAACCACTGCTTAAAAAGAGGGTGAAACACGGGCTTTGTGCATCAAAATAGAAATGAGGGTAGTTACTGGGGAGACACCTAAGGGGACTGACTAGATGCCATAGCCCGGATTGAATATTTAACACAGCCAGGTGCTTTTGTTCTGGACCTTTGTTCCTACACAACCATCAAAGTTCAGAAGTTCAGCCTGGGCCCTAATATTAACAGTGATTGACTCTTTATACCAAAGGGGGCTGGTAGACAACACCGTGAGTAGTCCAAGATGGCATATAATTTAACTGTTTTTTATTCCCCTCCACTTTTTTCTCCATCTACCATTTTCTACTTGGTTTTGAAAGGTATGTCTCTTTTAATATTTGGATATGGATGCTTTAATAATCTTGGAATTGAATAATACTTCAAACCAAATAGTGATACCTTGCAGAGTCTCAACTAAGAAGAAATTAGAAAGTTTCTTCTTCCTCCTGAATTTCCGATTCCATGCTGGGATAAATATTAATACAGAGATGGATGTGAAACACTGCCCTATATGAGTTCCTGGGAGCTCATTTTGCAGTGTTTTTGGGTCTGTGTAGGTCAACTTTGTTTGCTGAATTCAGGAATGAATGACTGCTTATCTATTTTACTCTTTCCTAGGAATTCTGTGGGAGAATACAATGCTTACTTTGCACTTTACACAATGACAGAAGGGTGAACTAACAGCTTTCATTAAATTGCTTTTTCTCCTTGGAGATTAACTCTTTTTTCTTATAGGAATATATCTCTATCTTTTTTTAAAATTTATTTATTTTTTATTTATTTATTTTTGGCTGCATTGGGTCTTCGTTGCTCCGTTCGGGCTTTCTCTAGTTGCGTCAAACGGGGGCTACTCTTTGTTGTGGTGTGCCAGCTTCTCATTGCAGTGGCTTCTCTTGTTGCAGAGCATGGGCTCTAGGTGCGTGGGCTTCAGTAGTTGTGGCACATGGGCTCAGTAGTTGTGGCTCTTGGGCTCAAGAGTGCAGGCTCAGTAGTTGTGGCCCATGGGCTTAGTTGCTCCGCAGCATGTGGGATCTTCCCCGACCAGGATCGAACCTGTGTCCCCTGCATTGGCAGGCGGATTCTTAACCACTGCACCACTAGGGAAGTCCTATATCTTTATCTTTGAGGTTAGGAAACTCAATGGAAAAATACAATTCAACATACAGGCTTTCTTTTTATCATACTTTCATAGTATCTAATGGATAAAGGAAAAATAATAATATATTTGAGGACATCTAATAGATAAATTCACATAAATATTTTTCACGTCTATGTGCAAATCATATTAAGTGATGTATAAAATATGTACAAAAAGAACACTAAATATACAGTAAAGAAACCAGTAAGAGACACATCCATTTAAAAGCAGTAAGTGATTTTAAAACATATTTTCCCCTTCTCTATGTGTGTCTCCTTAGTCTAGGAGTTACAGTGTGGCTGGGTCTACATACACTAGGCCAGCCCTTCTAAATTCTTGGCTCCCATTTTCCGTCATCTATATTTTATGTGTTGAAATCAGGGGGCAAATGACACAAATAATATGTGGACATTCTCTTTTAAAACCCAAATGAATATTTTACTTTTGAATAAGTTTTAAACCATAAAACCAACAAACGAATCAATTCACTTATTTATTTTTTTAAAGCAAATATCCCCCTTTCAACTCACCTTGTCCATTCGGTCTCTTTCCACCCCAAACCGACCTCCGTAGCCGTGGGATGCTTTGGGCCCTGATTCCATCTCCTTCTTCTTGAGAACATCATGTTCCTCTGACACTTTGTTCCTCAGCTGGTGAATGCTGGAAGTAACCACATCACAGAGACTCGTCTAGCACAGAGATGTCAACAAACCCTCCTTCATAGAAAAATTGAAATCTTGCAGCGTGTTCTGTTCATTTTTAGCAATAGCCCCCAAAGTGTACCTGTGCTGGGTCTGGGAGTAGGGGGTTAGTGTGGTCTGCATATACAGCCTGATATAAACTCTCCATAAGCCAATAGTATTTCTTCTAGTCTGTTATTTTGCTCACTAAATAACCTTCTGATATTTAGTCTCATGTTCCTAAATATTAGAGGACAGTGTTACCTATATTCTAGCAACCGAAAAGTTATTTTCCTCTCTGAATGGATTTATTGTTTAACAGTTCGGTACTCTACCTCAAGAAGCACAAAGATATTCATGCACCCTTTACCCACACATTCTAGTCCTAGAAGTCTACCCCAAGGAAATAGTTTTAAATATGGCAAAGTTTAATGTCTAATGATATTCACTGAAACATTGTATTTAATAGCAAGAACCAATTTATATGGAAAAAATGGGGAATAGTTAAGTAAATTGCAATATTACTTTTCAATGGCACATGAGGAAGTCATTAAAAACGATGATTACGAAAAATGCAGCATTGGGAAATTTATCTATACATTAAGTATTCTGTGTCTCTTCTTGTCAAAAATGAATGCCCTTCACACTGCCCATATATCTGCTAATTCCTGAGAGAACTAAAAACTAAAAAGGGCTCACTAATAAAATTCACTCTCATCACTAATTGTTGCAAAACTTTAAGGCTCAAATAACCTTGATTTGGGACACTTCTGTCCTTAAGAGAACATAACACCAAAAGGAGGCATTCTCTTTCTTACTTCACTTTCATCTCTACCATGTGGGTAGAGAATACCTCTCTGTATTTGTTTGGGCTGAGGATAAGAAGTGACAGCTCAGCACCAGCACCAACACCAGTACCAATAAGTGACAATCAGGACTGATACTTGGACACATATAAGGACCACTGGGGATTCTTAGAAATATTTGGGCAAGAGAACCCTAAATAAAAAATTTGACTTCCTGCAGCAAGAAATGGACGTTTAAGGAACTGAGATATAGTGATGTTCCTGGGACTGCGCTAGCTCAGAAAAACCAGATATATTGCTTACAGGTAGAATGGCCATCTCACATCAGAAAGTCTCCTCTTTCGTGGAAGAATAGATCCATCTTGTGGCCTTGTAGTATAAGCCCAACAGAGGTCTTTTTAAAAAGCCTTCTCAGCTTTAGTCAAAGTTAATTTTAGAAAACTGGCTTTGAGCCAGATGAAATTAAGCTAACAGCTGGAAGAACCCTCTGTTCCTGTGCCTGCTCTAAACCCTCTGGCAGCAGTGAAGGCAGAGATCCTGTGTTGCTATTTCAACAGCATCAACACTTTAGAACTGTCAGTGTCAGAAAAGTTATTGGTTCCAAGAACAGGTAAATGACCAATATTTCCCAACCAAAGTGTTCAGATGAAGAATGAAGAAAATGGGACTAAACATTACTTTCAAATGGGAAAAATTAGCAAAGTTTTAATAAATCCAATTACTGTTACATGGATCATAACTGTATTATAGTTGAAACAAGTTTTTAAAAGGGATTAGAAAATGAGATTCAGGAATATCCACCTAATAGATGACAATGAGGTTAGTCAGAGAATCATGACAATAGATAATATAATTTGAATGAAAATGTTGGGGCCAACAAAGACCAACTTCTTACCAAATTCATCAGAATATAGCTAAGGCACTATAAATGTGTTAGTTATATTATTCCTTTATTAAATAAATATTAAACTTTTTTGAGTGTGAGGCACCATTAGGCTCTGGCAATACAAAGATAATTAATGTATGAAAATAGTGATCAGGTGGAAATACAGAAAGGAAAAAAAAAATTGTAATTCAATGTCCTAATTGGCATACCTAAGAAACTTTTAACACATTAACTCTCAGATGTCTATTTTAAGGCTTAAAATACCTTGGAATTGATGAAGCAATACAGTTTATAGAAACCAAGTGACACCCAGGACCTCAAAGATGAGCTAAGAGAAGGAAGAGCTTTTTTTGTTTTTATTACAAAAGTAAAAACACAAAAGTGAGTGACAGACTGTAAGATTTTATTCACGAACAGTATGATCATAGTTGTAGAAAATCCTAAAGAATCTACATAAATGTGCTACTAGAACTATTAGGTATATTTAGCAAGGTCCCAGGAGACAAGATCACTATTAAAAGCAATTTTATTTCTACATACTAGTCACAGACATTTCTGAAAAAATTAAAGAAGACCTAAATAAATGGAGACATATCCCATGTTCATGGGTTGGAAAACTCAAGACTATTAAGATATGAGTTCTCTCTAAAATGATCTATAGATTCAGTGCAATCCCATTCAAAACACCAACAGGCATTTTTGCAGGAATTGACTAGCTAATTCTAAAATGTATGTCATACAGAGTGAAGTAAGTCAGAAAGAGAAAGACAAATACCGTATGCTAACACATATATATGGAATTTAAGAAAAAAAAATGTTATGAAGAACCTAGGGGTAAGATAGGAATAAAGACACAGACCTACTAGAGAATGGACTTGAAGATATGGGGAGGGGGAAGGGTAAGCTGTAACAAAGCGAGAGAGAAGCATGGACATAGATACACTACCAAACGTAAGGTAGATAGCTAGTGGGAAGCAGCCGCATAGCACAGGGAGATCAGCTCAGTGCTTTGTGATCGCCTGGAGGGGTGGGATAGCGAGGGTGGGAGAGAGGGAGACGCAAGAGGGAAGAGATATGGGAACATATGTATATGTATAACTGATTCACTTTGTTATAAAACAGAAACTAATGCACCATTGTAAAGCAATTATACTCCAATAAAGATGTTAAAAATAAAATAAAATAAAATGTATGTGGAAATGTAAAGTCCTAGGATGGTAAAAAGTGTTTTTTTTTTTTTTTTTTCAAAGGAGAGCAAAGGAGAAGTACTACCTGATTTCATGACTGCAATAAAAAGTGCAGTACACGGGCTTCCCTGGTGGCGCAGTGGTTGAGAGTCCGCCTGCCGATGCAGGGGACGCGGGTTCGTGCCCCGGTCCGGAAAGATCCCACATGCTGTGGAGCGGCTGGGCCCGTGAGCCATGGCCGCTGAGCCTGCG